TTGACTTTATTTGGCCAGCCCTGGGGCTTCAACACAAGGCCTGGGCACTGTTCCTGAACCTCTTTGTGCTCAAGGCTAGCTCTCTACCACAGTGCTACTTCCAGCTTTTCAAGAGTGGTTTGTTTTGTTTTTTTTTTGTCGGTCGTGGGGCTTGAAATCTGGGCCTGGGCGCTGTCCCTCAGCTCTTCAGCTCAAGGCTAGCGCTCTACCACTTGAGCTACAGCGCCACTTCCAGTTTTCTGGTGGTTTATTGGAGATAGGAATCTCACGGTCTCTCCTGCCCAGGCTGGCTTTGAACCGAGATCCTCAGATCTCAGCCTCCTGAGTAGCTAGGATTACAGGCCTGAGCCACCAGCACCCCGGCCAAGAGTGGTTTATTAGAGATAAAGATCTTATCAGGACTGGGAATGTGGCTTAGTGGTAGAGTGCTTGCCTAGCATGCAGGAAGCTGTGGGTTCGATTCCTCAGTACCACATAAACAGAAAAAGCTGGAACTGGCACTGTGGCTCAAGTGGTAGAATGCTAGCCTTGAGCAAAAGAAGCTCAGGTACAGTGTCCAGGTCCTGAGTTCAAGCCCTAGGACTGGCAAAAAAAAAAAAGTCTTAACAGACTTTTCTGCCTGGACTGGCTTTGAACAGTGATCCTCAGATCTCAGCCTACTGAATAGCTAGGATTACAGGCATGAGCCTCCGGTGCCTGATGCCCTGTGACTTTAAAATAGCCCATCTTTGCTCATCCTATTCTTTCCCAGTAGATATGTATTAGAACTACTGGGGTAAGTCATGGGCTTGAAAGCAAATCCTATAGCCGGCAGGACTAAGTACCCCTATTTCCTTGATCCTAGATTCTAATCCCCACTGAAAGACACCTCTAATAACATTCCCAAAAGTCTCTTTCCTTGAGGGCTGAAATGTAAGTCTCCTGTCAGACTGCTAACCAAAGAAGAACCATTACTTAGAATCCTATATTCACAATGAGTTAAACTAACACATTGCCCTCAGGTAAAAGCTGTAAGTGGGAGCGTAGACTCAAACTGGACAGTGAAGGGCTCCTGACAGCTAGGACAAAGGTTCTCAAATTGTGAATGGCAAAATGAATTTAGTAGGACACAGCCAGTGTTAAAAATAATAGGTGTCTGGTGGCTCATACCTATAACCTACCTACTCAGAAGGCTGAGATCTGAGGATCAGGGTTTGAAGCCAGCCCAGGCAGGAAAATCCATAAGAAAGTCCAATTAACCACCAAAAAGCCAGAAGTGGAGCTGTAATTCAGGGTGGTACAGTGCTAGCCTTGAGCCGCCAGGAGCTCAAGACAGTGCACAGAGTCCAAAGCCCAGGACCTCTACACAAGTGCGTGTGTATGGACACACGTACACGCACACACACACACATGCATATTAAGGTAAATGCCATTTGGGTAAAACTCAGTGTTTTTATATACTGGTTCATAATCCTTTCCTCAAAATTGTTAGGACCAGATTTGTTTAAGAAAAAGTTTCAGCAGGGCACTGGTGGCTCACATCTGTAATCCTACTTAGGAGGCTGAGATCTGAGGATCGAGGTTCAAAGCCAGCTCTGGCAAGAACGTTCCATGAAATTCTTATCTCCAATAAACCACTGGAAAACCAGAAGTGGTGCTGTGGCTCAAGTTGTAGAGCACTAGCCTTGAGCCCAAGAGCTTGGGGACAGCACCCAGACCCAAAGTTAAAGACCCAGGACAGCCGGGCGCTGGTGGCTCATGCCTGTAATCCTAGCTACTTAGGAGGCTGAGATCTGAGGATCACGGTTCAAAGCCAGCCCTGGCAGGAGAGACCTTGAGACTCCTATCTCCAATAAGCCACCAGAAAACCGGAAGTGGCACTGTAGCTCAAGTGGTAGAGCGCTCGCCTTGAGCTGAAGAGCTGAGGGACAGTGCCCAGGCCCAGAGTTCAAGCCCCACGGCCGACCCCCCCAAAAAAAAGACCCAGGACAGACAAAAAGAAAAAGAAAAAAAGTTTCAATTGATTGCTTTACTGATAGTTGGATTAAAACTTGTCACCCATAAATAAAGTATGGGAGGCACAAGGTTTATCTCTAACCCAGATTTTTTTTGTTGTTGTTGTTGGTCATGAGGCTTGTACTCTTCTGGGCTTGGGTACTGTCCCTTAGCTCTTTAGCTCAAGGCAATTGCCCTACCACTTGAGCCACAGAGCCACTTCTGGCTTTTTTCTGCTTATGTGGTGCCGAGGAATGGAACCCAGGACCTCATGCATGCAAGGCAAGCACTCTACCACTGAGCCACCTTCCCAGCCCAAATTGTCCATTCTCACACCATACCTTTCCAACCTACAGATGAATTGGGAGTCATTTCCATGCTTTCTGGCTGGAAACCAGGAAAGTCAGTCCTACCAAGACTATGCTTTCTCAGGAGATCCAAGGCTGGCTGGGTTTTTGGTGACCACTGCATGAAATGACAGTCTTTTAGCCGCATGATTCTTGGGAGAAAAAAAAAAGCCACCCTCTTGGCAACACAGCCCTTTCTCCTCTCCTGCCAGCCAATCAGAAGGTATTCTTCAAGCCTGTTCTTGTTACACAACATGGAATACAAGTAAAAATGATGGCTGCAGTGTTGCAGTCTAGAACACTCATAATCTGCAGTTGCTTCAACTTCCTCCACCCTTATGCCTACAAAGTCATCTATTTTACTTTTTATAAGATATAAGGCCTTTGAGACTAATAGACTTAAGTGTCACAAAACCTTAAGTCTGAGAACTAGAGAAATGGAGACAGAAAACAACGTGATACTTTGTTTTGACCCCAGGCTGTTAAGCCTACGGTGAGTTTCATTTTGTAAAACCCAAGTACTTTGTTGAGAATTACAGATTATGTCATTACATTGCTAGGACTTCTTAATAATGCAGCATTGATGAACAGAAGGAAAAACAATTCAGAGACTAACAGCGTTAATAAAAAGCTCCATTAAAAACACATAGGGGCCAGGTGCCAATAACTCAAACCAGTGATCCCCTCCTGGGAACCTCCCTAGTTCCAGTAACACTTGTTTTTAACACTTGTTTTTCTAGTTCAGGAATATATTTCCTCATGTTTCTGGGACTGGCGAGGTCCTCCTGGGCATGGGCAGAACCCTGCAATCATCACAGATTGCCACTTTTCTTGGAGGACACAGATTTTTCAGTGTAAAAGATATCTAGAGCTGGGCGCCGGTGGCTCCTTCCTGTAATCCTAGCTACTGAGGAGGCTGAGATCTGAGGATCGCGCTTCAAAGCCAGCCCGGGCAGGAAAGTCCCTGAGACTCCTATCTCCAATAAACCACTAGAAAACCGGAAGTGGCGCTGTAGCTCAAGTGGTAGAGCGCTCGCCTTGAGCTGAAGAGCGCAGGGACAGCACCCAGGCCCAGAGTTCAAGCTCCACGACCGACCAAAAAAAAGTCTAGAATGTTTAAAGCACAAAAACGGAATCAAGTCTTTACTGGAGTATGAACTCAGGGCCCTAGACCTGCTAGACAAGTCTTTACCACCTGAGCCACACCTCTAGTCCAATAAGTTTTTTAAAAAGGAAGACAGTACAAAGGATATGACAATCACACACACACGACTCAAACCCTTTCTGAGCACTTAAATGATACCAAAGTAAGAGGGAATTGGTAATGCCATTGGAATATTAATGATTGTGTTCACCATATTTGTCGTGTTGGTGGTGAAAGTTACAATTAGATGGTTATGGTTGGGAAAACTGATGCAACAGTTCCAAGGCCAATAGCAAAGAGGACAGGCCTAGGGTAATACATTTTCACACTAAGTCTTTTAGGAAGATTGACCTGCGGGGCTTTAGGACAACAGCAGCTTTCATGAATCCCTAAATTTACTACCTACCACCATCCATCTCCCACCTCTCCTCCCCCAAAAGAAATAATCCTGCTACTTTAAATACAGGGCATCTCTCCGTTCTAAATGGCCTTTTCAGCCAGCCACAGGCGGCTCAAGCCTGTAATCCTAGCGACTCAGGAGGCTGAGATCTGAATAGAAGTTTGAAGCTAGGCCGGGGAGACAAATCTAAGAAATGATTCAATTAACCACCAAAAACCCAGACGTGGAGGTGTGGCTCAAGTGGTAGAGCGCGAGCCTTGCGCGAAAAAGCTCGGGGACAGCGCCCGGGCCCTGAAGTCCAGACCCACGACCGATCAATAATAATACTGGTCACATTTAGGCAGTTTGCACACTACTGTTGAAAAGCCAGTTTGGATTTGTGCTGGTCCTGGGGTTTGAACTCAGGGCCTGGGCACTGTCCCTGAGAGTTTTCATTCAAGGCGAGCGCTCTACCATTTGAGCCACACCAGGTGTTCTGGTGGTTCATTGGAGATGAGTCTCACGGACTTTCCTGCCGGGGCTGGCTTTGAACCGCAGTGCTCAGATCTCAGCCCGCTGCGGAGCTAGGGTTCCAGGCGGGAGGCACCGGCGCCCTCTCCTCTCTTCCAATCCCGTTTTCCTTCCGGGAAACCCTCCTGCGTACGCAGATGGGTCAGCAGCAGAGGAAGGCAACCAACTTGGTCCTGGGCCCTGAGTGGTCGGGGGACTTAAGGTCAGGCGGCGTCTTCCGTCGGCGTTTCTTCCAAATCGCGGTTTTGCTCGTTGGGGCGGCCACAGGAAACAGCGGACCGACGGGCCAGAGCCCAGCTAAAGCGCGCGGAAGGAACCAGCGCCCCTCGCGGGAGGCCCGGGCCGCGGTCCCGAGCGCCCTCTCGCGCCCCCGCGCGTCCAGCCCGGGACTCGCGTCCTGCGCGCTCCCTCCGCACGCGGGGGGCGGGGCGGGGCAGATAAAGATCTTATCAGGACTGGGAATGTGGCTTAGTGGTAGAGTGCTTGCCTAGCATGCAGGAAGCTGTGGGTTCGATTCCTCAGTACCACATAAACAGAAAAAGCTGGAACTGGCACTGTGGCTCAAGT